TCCAGCCAGTTCTTTATCCACCGAGTGGTCCATTTGTTGAATCCATGTCTCTTCAATTTAGAGACCAGGATATTGTGTGGGACAGTGTCAAACGCTTTGCACAATTCCAGGTAGATGACATCAGTTGCTCTTCCCTTGTCCACTGCCGCTGTAACCCCTTCATAGAAGGCCACCAAATTTGTCAGGCATGACTTGCCCTTGGTGAAGCCATGCTGGCCGTCACCAATCACTTCCTTGTTTTCTATGTGCCTCAGCAGAGTTTCCAGGAGAATCTGCTCTATGATCTTGCCAGGCAGAGGCGAGACTGACTGGACTGTAATTCCCCGGGTCTTCCTTCTTTCCCTCTTTGAAAATAGGGGTTATGTTTCCCCTTTTCCAGTTGGCAGGAACCTCGCCAGACTGCCACGACTTCTCAAATATGATGGCCAGTGGCTTTGCAACTTTATCTGCCAGTTTCCTCAAGACCCGTGGATGTATCTCATCAGGTCCCATGGTCTTGTGTACCTTCAGGTTCCTCAGGTGGTCTTGCACTTGATCTTCACCTATAGTGGTCAGTTCTTCATTTTCCCAATCCTCATCTTTGCATTCTGCATCATGGGCAGTGTGGCTGCAGTCCTTGTCAGTGAAGACTGAGGCAAAAAAGCTGTTGAGGACCTCAGCTCTGTCTCCGATAACCAGTTCTTGCATTTCCTTCCGGAGAGGGCCCACATTTTCCCTAGTATTTCTTTTCTCATGGACATACTTAAAAGAAGGATTTTTTGTTTGTCTTAATGTCCCTGGACAGATTTAGTTCTATCTGGGCTTTAGCTTGTCTAACCCAATTCCTGGCTGCTCGAGTGATTCCTCTGTACTCCTCCCAGGCTACCCGCCCCCGTTTCCACTCCCTATAGGCCTCCCTTTTCCTTTTGGTCATGTCCAGGAGCTCCTTGTTTATCCATGCAGGCCTCCTGGCTTTTCTGCCTGCCTTTCTCTTTGTAGGGATGCATCGCTCCTGAGCTTGGAGGAGGTGATCCTTGAATACTAACCAACTTTCTTGGGCCCCTCTTCCCTCCAGCACTTCATCCCACGGCACCATACCAAGCAGCTTCTTCAAGAGGCCAAAGTCAGCTCTCCCAAAGTCCAGGACGGTCAGCCTGCTGAGCACTTTCCTCTCTGCTTCAAGGATCTCAAACTTGACTATTTCATGGTCACTACAGCCCAGGCTGCCCTTGAGTTTGACACTGTCTATCAGTCTCTCCTTGTTGGTAAGGAGAAGGTCCAGCATTGCTCCTCTCCTCGTTGGCTCCTCAACCACTTGGAGAAGGAAGTTGTCCTCAATGCAATCCAAGAACCTCCTGGATTGCCTATGCCTGCCTGTGTTACCCTTCCAACAGATGTCAGGGTGGCTGGAGTCACCCACAAGGACCAGGGTATGTGAACATGATGCCACCCCTATCTGTCTATAGAGGGCTCCACCCGCTTGGTCTTCTTGGTCGGGTGGCCTGTAGCAGACCCCCACTGTAATGTCCCCTGATCCCCGTTTCCCTTTAATCCTGACCCATAGGCTCTGAAGTTGTCTCTTTATCCATCCCTAGGCTGAGCTCCATGCATTCCAGCTGCTTGTTAACATATAAGGCAACACCGCCTCCTTGTTTCCCTCGACTGTCTATCCTGAAGAGCCTGTAGCCTTCCATGGCAACACTCCAGTCATAGGAGTCATCCCACCAAGTTTCCACAATACCAATGAGATTGTAGCCTTGGAGGTGTGCACACATCTCTAGCTCCTCTAGCTCCTGTCAGTTTCTTGCTTACTCAGTGCCTCTTTCAACATGAAACACAGTAAGTAAAGAACTGAGAAATAAAGACAAGTCCTTACCTATGAACAAGTGTGTTCTTCAGACCACGAATTAGGTGCCGTGCAATAGTTTTCACTCGAGGAGTGAGAATTGCTTGAGAAACATGAAAAGTCCCATAACGACTTCGTTCCTCAAGAGTGGTCTCCAGGAACTGTAAGAGTTTGTGCACGTTGGTTGTATTAGCCCATGGTGCTGGCATTTTATTCCCTGGCCACAGAAAGGGGTATTCCTGATATAAAGGGTAGTGGTAGAATATGAGAACCTAAGAGAACAAAGAAAAAGGATAAAAATAAACAATGAATCACAACTGTGTTATATATTTAAACAGGATGTTGCATTGGTTTGTGCATATACAGTAGTGCTGCAGCTAGCACAGCAGTGAAAACAGGACCAAGCAAAAAGAAGCTGCTCTCAAGTCTAGACTCTTTAGCCTAGAGAAAAGAAGATTGAGGGGGGATCTTATTAATACTTACAAATACTTAATGGGAGGATGCCAGGGGGATGGGAGCAGTCTTTTTTCAGTGGTGCCCAGTGATAGGACGAGGGGTAATGAGCATAAACTTGAACATAGGAAGTTCCATCTTAACATGAGAAGGAACTTCTTTACTTTGAGGGTAGTGGAGCACTGGCACAGGCTGCCCAGAGAGGTGGTGGAGTCTCCCACTCTGGAGACATTCAAAACCCGCCTGGACGCTGTCCTGTGCAACGTGCTGTAGGTGACCCTGCTCTGGTAGGGGGGTTGGACTAGATGATCTCCAGAGGTCCCTTCCAACCCTAACCATTCTGTGATTCTGTGATTCAAGTCATAAGTACTAGTAAATTTGTTGCACTATTGCCAATAAAGGAGATGGAGATAATTTCGGCCAGCTATGAGGACAGGATTGCTTCAGGCTTTAAGGGTCATCAGTTTAAAATGAAAAAGTTGCCAAGAGTATACTGAAATGTCATTCAAAGACTTCAGCTTAAAAGCATTTCAAAGCACTGACAGAGACTATTACATCTGTACTTGAACTTAAAGATTTTAGCAGTCTTGTCATCTTCTGCATAACTCCCATTAAGTGACTACAGCGTACTGGGATGACTGGCATAACGGCATTCCATTTGCACTTATTGCATCAGATGCCAAAGTCAGTCTTGCTGTCAGCAAAGTCTTCTCTAATTCAGAAGTCAGAATTTTGTGCCTTGTAAGGTGGTTCTCTACAAGAGGATAACAAAGATGCAACGCTTCTTAACACTCAAATTTACAAGTGATTAATTTTGGACCCTAGAACTGACAGCATCAGTTCAGAGGAATTCCTCAAAGCCTCATGCATTTTACAGCTTAAGAATGACATGCCATTGCTGAAACTGTGTTCTTGGTTTGTGTGTATGCATGGGAGCAGTTACCACAGAGAAGAGGCATTTAATCTTGCCACTATAGATTTGCATACCTGCAAAGGAGCTAAGAAATTCTGTACCGTACCTCAGTCATGTTAAAGCTTCTATGCTTCACACTGGCCAAAAAGACAACAGTTTATCAAATCCTCACCGACACAAGTCAGCACAACATGCTCTTCCAGAAGAGAAAACCATTTGTAAGAAGCACAAGGCTTCGAGGATACTCATTTATTTACTTAGGGAACATGCCTGGGAGCAGGACACAGTCTTCTGCACCATGGATGGAGGAGCTACATGCTGCAAATAAACAGAGGGAAAAATGCACGCAACATAAAAGAGTCCCTAGTGGGCTTTAAACTGGCTGTCAGTAGTGTCCTTGAGCCAATACCTCTGAGTGGAAATGACACCCAGACTCTCTATTTAAATCTTAACCTTTTGGGTTTGAAAAACATTACACATTGTTTCCCTACCTGGTGTTTCTTCTCCCACATGTACTGTAACGTCACATATTCTACACATTCAACGGAACAAAGTTTGGATCCAAATGCTGAGCGGATCCTGCTGATCAAGAAGTAGTGATGGTTGTCATCCATAGCGTAGAAGTGATTGAAATCCAAGAAGACTACTTCCTTGGGGTGCTGCTCAAGAAAGGTGTTAATCTCCTTCAGCCCATCCCATACTTTGATGCCAAACAAGCCGTGTATGAAGTAAATCTCTTGTCCTATTTCCCCAGGTTTGGAAGATACACGAAGATCAAAGTATCGGATCCCACCTTCCAACTGCTCTTTGAAAGTCAGATTTTGAGTCACTGACCATTTCTTCATGATCTTTTTAACCAAAGAAATTCTGGCCAAACGTTTGATGGCTGTGGCTTGGTCTGGTCCCACAGGGGATTTCTCATCAACCCAGTAGCTGAAAGAATCATGTGACCCTAGAAACAAAAGCCAAGAATATTTCATTTTAGAAAACTGACTCCCCCAAAACACATACACCCATGTGCCCTGTAAGCTGAAAAGAGTCCTACATGTATGGCAGGGTTGCAGAAGAGTTATGCTCAAGTGAGAGTCTTTCAGACTACCCTTTACACCTCCATTTTCCGTAACTGTACAACAAGAACTACGCTTAAGGTTCTCCATTTGAACTGTTTTCTTGTGTGAGCTCTCAATTTCAATGCACTCTGAAAATCATAATCATAAGACAAACAGTGGTAAAGGGAAACTTCCTTCTAACCTTCCTTCATTTACAATCTACTAATCTACCTCCAAAGCTTTCCCAGAGCATAGTACATCACTGATTTGAAATGAGACTTCATTATGAGGCTTCATTAAAAGAATACGAGGCTTTATTTTCATTCTACCTGGTAAATCCAATCGTGACTTAATACAGGAGAACTCCTAGAACAGATATCTTTACTCCTGTGATGGTCAGAGGGATCTGTACATGCACATGCCTCCCGACCACATCTCACTTTAGCCCCAACATGGTAAATAAATGATTAGTAGTTTGAACCATGGGAAATGATTGGCTGAACTTAGAGGTGGAACAATTGAGTATACCACCAGTTACTGGGTGGTTAGACACCAAGCTCACATTAAACAAGTTCATGAATGTGTCTTTTACCTGGCAGGGCCTTTGAGTGACCACAGAAATGGTGAATACAAAATTCACCAAAAAAAGATGACCAGCAATCAAAATTGCCAGTCCCTGCCAAAATAGTGTATCTGTCAAAGTTCCCGTAACACAACCTGTACCTTGGCAGAGAAACTGCATCTCCAGTACAAAATTTGTGCTTACTAGAAAAAAGCCTTCAGCTGAGAATTTGGTAGTAACTGGAAACAAAACTGAAAAATAATAAAAATCCTTCCAAATAACAGCTTCAGAGTCAATTAAATACCCCTAGCTGAGCCAAGTCAATAACAGAACAAAGAGCAATAGGGCAATGTATCTCAGTTTGCACTGTACCAGAGCAGCATAAAGCAAAGACGGGCAGAAGCTGATCTACCACAGGCTGAGGTTTACCAGGGATTTCTAACCATTTACACCAGGCACTGGGATTCTAGCCAAGAAGCTGCAACTGCTCCATGCATGGACTTCCCCATGAAGCCCCTGCCAAGAAAAACACCACAGGACCTTAAGAGTCCTGCTTCCCTTTCTTCAGGACAACAGATGAGAGATTGGCCCATTGAGCCAAACCCCACTTGCTTCCTGCATGCCCACTTTGCTGAAGTACAGGAAAAGCATCTTCACCCCTGATTACCCCAGGCAGCTCCTTTTTCAGCTCCCTTGGGGGTACAGTGACCCTGCATCACACTGCCAGCATCTGCATTTACCCTTCCTGCATGCCCCAGGGTTCTTGTCCCTGCTTCTGAGACTATATTTTTCTAGAATTTCCTCCTCTACCTCAGTCTGCAACTCTTAAAAAAAAATATCCCAATTTGTCATTTCCAATTTTAAGACAACATTTAAGGCATCCACAGTCTCCTTTACCCAAACCTTTTATTTGTGTACCAGCGCTCACTTGAAGACTGATGCATTTCCTGTGACGCAAGGTCAGAGTTGTAAACAAGACTGATCTCAATTGGATTATCTTGTCAGTATTTTTTAATCCAGATGGAGGTACAGACTATACACAAACCAAACATCAGTTCACAACCACCTTAAATGCACTCTTTCTCCATGAATTTCACCCAGTTCAAAATTACTGAAAAGGAGCCATGAAGGTTAGTTTTCAGGCTTTACAAACACTAAAAACTAATTTTTATCAATTCTTCCTGAATTCATCACAGTCTTTGTAAAAGCATGCCTCATGTGGCTTTCCATTCAGTCTTCCAGAAACGAGTGACAAGAAAGCTGTTTTTAAAAGATGGCAGCTTAAGAAGCTATTTAGTACCTGTCACGGTAAATTACATCCAAAAGTAGCTGCTGGTTTTGGAGTGACATCTAGATTTTTTCCCCACCTCCACATGTGTAACCCTGAACAAAATACAGGATCAAACATCTAGTGAAGACATTTCAGAAGCAGCCGTATAAGGCCTGGCTCATACTGCAAGCTGCAACTAACTTATGTTTGAGTTTCATACACCTCCCCATACAGCAGAATGAGCCTTTCAAGCTTCTACAATATTTGAAAAGGAGACTCAGTCACAAGGGGTTGGTCTTCTGCCTCTGAATGAGTCACTTTGCACAAAGAAGTCTTTTTTTGTTTTGTTTTGTTCTGTTTTTCTTTGTGTGGGTGCTTGTGTTTAAGTTCTCAATTCTATTCCTTTTAATTTCTTCCTCAATTTAGGTCACTGTAGAAAATTGTTTAACATGTTAGAATAAGGACATAAGAAACATTTTTAAATTTTAATATTTTAAATATTTAAATAGGACTGTGCAACAGCCTCTAGACAGCTGCCGACAGAAGTCACTGGCACCATTATGCTCCCTCAGACAGCATCACTGACAAATCTGACCTAAGAAGGAATGACAATTTTAGCTAGCATCACACATATTGTTGCCAACTCAGAGTTGTCTAAGCAAATCTGAGCCAAGAAACAGCTTATTTTCCTAAGTTTGATCACTTACTTCACAGCTACAAAAGCCTTTGCTTTGCAGATTGCCACATACAAAGCACATTTAAGGATACAAACAAACTTCTCTTTGCACTACCACAAACCAAATTCTATTCACAGCTCTAGAAAGCAACAAGAGAGAAAACAAGCCACATGCCCATTGCAGCTTTTTCAACACATACTTTAAGAGCTGTACTCCGTAACAGGGAAGCTATTTGAGAAACTAAACTATGTGACATGCTTCTATAGTTACAGAAGATCCTTAGAACTCCTGCCCTGTAGCTATGCTTAAAAGCCTAGGAAACTTGACTTTTCATTTACAATGAAGTCAACATGTATACCTAGATATAACAAAGTAGAACACGAGCCAGAGCATCTAGAAAACAAGTTCTCCTTTACACAGGTGATAGAAGACAATACTGAGGCTGGAACAACACAGCAAGAGTTAAATTAGATTTTCAGTGGTCATTTACAGAAGGCCAGCCACCAACTGTGAGAAATACCTAGGCCAAACCTGGACCCAGAACATTTTTACTCCAATAAGGGAAAAGCAAACTGAAAGCCTGAAGCAACAGGACTGGATACTTGTTGGACGGAGAGGTAAGAGCTAGTTGAGGATCCATGTCATCCACCAGGCCCTTTAATTTAAGATCACTGTTTTATGTTACCAGCTCAGCCACTGACTTTTAATATAGCTTAGCTGTGATGTTAAGCTACACGCTAAGCTGATCGCATCATGATGTCAGATTAATCCCTGCTCTCCTTTGCTCTACCCCTGAACTCCATGAAAGGCCTAGCCATTGCGTAGCCATGGCAGGAACCAGGCTGGTTGCTGATACAGCAGCAACCAGCTGTTTTGTTTTGTTGTTGTTTTTTTTCTTTTTGAAAAAATCATAACCTAAATCAACCCAATCCTGTACAATTTCAAAGGTAAAGGCCAGAACCTACACAAGAAGCATGGAGCAGACCAGCCCCGTCCTGTTAGCAGCTCAGTGTTAGAGCTTGTTGTGGTTTAACCACAGCCAGCAACTAGGATCAGGCAGCCACCTGCTCACTCCCCCTTTTCCCTCCAGAAGGGTAGGGAGAAGGAGAAAAGGAGGGGGAAAGGGCAAAAACCCTCATGGGTTGAGATAAAGACAGTTTAATAGAACAGCAACAGAAAAGGAAAATAATAATAATAATGGAAAAAAAAAAAACATATACAAGACAAAACACTCTCACCACCCAGCAATCAATTGCCCAGCCCAACCTGAGCAGTGATCTTTGATTCCCATCCCCAAGCCAACACCACTTCTATGCCAAGCATGCAATCTATGGTACAGAATATTCCATTGACCATTCCATTGTTCTGTCTATGCTCCTCCTCAGCTTCTATGGGAAGCTGAGAAAATCCTTGACTTGTATAAACATCACCTAGCAACAACAAAAACAATATGCATTATGGACATTCCTGTCATACTAAATCTGAAAACACTTCAACCACTACAAAGAAAATTAACTCTATCCCAGCTGAAACCTGGACAGAGCTGCTAACCACATTGCTAATTGAGGTTTAACACAAGGATGTGTGAACATACTCAGATGTTGTAACATCATACAGTGATAGCAAAGGGGCTGGCAGTTGCTGAACAGAGCAAGCATCACAAAACTCTCATCGTGACATATACAGAAAAGTCTTTGCCACGTACAATAAAACCTTTGTCTGTGGTTCCCCCTCAACCAAATGGTGTGCATCTCTCCAAATGATACTGACCACTTCCTCAGGAAAGTTAAAAAAGCTCAAGAAGTCTTGTCAGCAAAACATTTCAGATAACTGACATCTCAAAAATAAGTAGCATCCTGTATTGACTCCATAAATCCATTCCTTGTACTTACTGATTGTGAACAAAGCAACTAACAAACAGATATTTATAACTTCCAGCTTACAGACTGAGAAATCAAAAGGCACAGAAAAGTCAAGAAACTCAGTCATCATTGTCCTTTAGTCGAACAGAGGCCAGAAGCCCAGTCTGAACTGCCTCAAGGGCATGTTCTTGCATGTGCAGCACACTTCAAGCTACCGCACATGAAAACAGATTAGCATTCAAACTGTAAACCTTACTGAGCTGCTCCAGTGACACAACATTAATCTGGTGCTCAGCCCTTCCCAAAACGAAGCAAGGCACAGGAAATGAACCAGAGATGATGATTTGGCAGTTCCTACCAATAGGCCGAAGATGCATAGCATGAAGCAGTAAGCATTAAAAATTAAGCATGAACGACTGCACAATCAAAGAAAAAAATTAGGGGACTGCTAGTCAGCTGGCAGCTCTTAGAGCAACAGACAATGGTTGCTCTATTTTGTTTTCATTTCTTTCATCTGACAAAGATTGGAAGCTTCAAGGAAAGCAGTCACATCCAATCAAATGCCCAGATATTTAACCAAAGGCTATGATATGGTTAGAATAGTATTAAAGAGGCATCTTCCAGATGCCAGATTGTTAAAATGATGGATAGTCCTCTTAATTTTATCCCAGCAAGTGCAACTGTGGATTAATTTTTATTCATATCTTTAAGCCCTTTTTTATTCTCCTTACACTAATTTCTGAAGTTAATTGTATGTTAAATAGATCGCTTCTCAATTCAATTTGTATGTTAAATAGATTGTATTTCACTGTTCAGGATGACTTTTCTGCTGAAGCTTTTGTGCTCATTGTTAGAAAGTAGCCTTTTATCATCACATCTGCGCAGTCTAGCTTTCTAGTGTGTCTATTTGTCATGCTACTTAGTCACAGATAGTCAAATTAACCTATGTTGTATCTCAAACAAATGACACTAATCAACAGAATGTTATTAAGCCTCAGATTTCAACAATTACTAGCTATATCACTTCGTATTATCTTTTGTTTCCACATCAGTACCTTCTCCATATACAGTTGCAGAGCAGAGATAGCAATCAGCATCATCTCACCAACCCTGGTGTCCTTTTCCAAGCTTGTAAATTTACCTTCAAGGGATGATAAAAATATGCCTATGATACGCAAAGTGCAGAGATCTTCCACAATAAAACATACTTATGCACTGCCATTTACTTGAAAAGATTGCAAGAACTCCATTTTTTTTTCCAGATACAAGCATGTCTAGAGTTATATCACTAGTCCCCCTAGTTGCAAGGCTGTGGACTAGTCAGAAGCAGCAGTTAAAGACACTTCCTGCAAAAGTCTAACCAAGAAACAATGAAAGCAGAAAGGTAGGAGTGTGTACTGTCAGTAAGTTTAGCTAGATCAGACTAGTTTGTCAGACTAATCTTCACATTAATGGAATATCAACAGGATGAAAAAAATGCAAGGAAACCTCTTCTGTTATGTTAAACATTCGTAAAAAGCAAGGTCAACATACTGTACCAACCCATTAAAAGCATTAAAGGGTCATTTATGGACAAAGAATCACCCTTGCTGTAGTGACGCCAAACTTCTTAGAGCAACCTTTGCTCACTATGCAAAGCACATTCCCCATATATTACAAAACACTGCACATGACATTACATAGCAAGCATCACACAGCCAAGACATCTAGAAGCACAGTAATCAAGTTCCAAAAACACAGGATGCAAGTGCCAGCATGCTAAGGCTGTCCCCACAAATGTTCTTCTAAACTAAATGTCCTGTGTGTGCCAGAACTGAGAGAAAAATGGGATAAACAAAAGTGCCCCTCAAAGCCCAGAAGTCCTCAGGATTCAGGTCATTAACAATCCAGATTTTCTAATCAAAAGATTAACATCTTAAAAGCTCTTCACTAATGAAAAGTGAATCAAATAGTTCACATCAACTTGCCCAGCAAAAGGAGGAGAGACAGGAATAACAAACATCCTATTGACAATTAGTTATCTAAAACTACTGAGATGAATATTTATATTTTAATAGAATCCTAAAATAATACTTTAGATATTCTTAATGCAGTCTCATTAAGGAGGACAAAGCCTGGTACAGACCAAATCCTCTTAGGAAAACTTCCTCTCCCTATCAAAGAATTACCCTGATTTTCCCCCACTGCCCCTTTCAGGGTGGGAGGTAAAAGGGGGTGTGTGTGCAATAAAAGGGGGACAGAGAGAAAGGGACTGCTTAAAACTGTCTTGAACACAGTATCACATGGTAATTTGCTTTTCTTTCCAGCCAGGAGAAATCTGTTTCGCACTGGCTGGAGTTATTGCCATTAATGTGTTTTTTTGTGATTTAGTAACGAGTTCCCATTTATCAGCAACTTGATAAATTTTTTTTCCCTGTTTTCATTACACAGCTCTTTTCCCTCTTTTCATGTCTTTTGTGGAAGAGGCAGCAAACGGGAACTTTCACAGAACATGAAGGAGAGCAACAACCATTTATATCAACATTATGATTGGTTTTCCCCGTTTGAAGTAAAACTTTAGCATGTTCTGCACTCATTTACCAGGCAGTGAAGTCACTCTCTAGAGCACGCAAATTTTAATAAAAAAAAGTTTTTTTCTTGATAAAAAAATGAAGGTCTTCACACCCTGTCTTAAGAAAACACTGTGGCATTTCCAAAACTAATCAGTTTTGGCTAAACAGATGACAGAGGTCCTTTAAAAAGGAGAATGCCTAAAACCTGAGGCTAACTTTTCAGTAGAACTCCTGCATAGACCCAGTACAGTTACTTCACTATCTGCCACAGCACTTCCTCACATAGGAATGTGTAAAGGGAACACTTTGTTACTTGGGAATTAGTGGAACTACTTCCATTAGATATTCTTATTAGTATAGCAGTGCAGATAGTTTAATAGCACCTCTCCAACAAGAATTGAAATTTGCAGCTACAATGAAGTAGGCAACCAAGGTAATAAATTGTCCTTTCAGGAGAAGTTCATCCTGAAAATTCTGCATTTACAAATCATATGCAACATCACCATACTTACACAGATGTTTTCTTCTAATGGTTATTACCTCAATGATTGGTAGATGCCAATTAAATTGTGATGGAAAATAAAGCCTGGTGAATCAGAACATTAACCTTATATATTTACTCCCTTTGAGCTTTAACCCAACAGATGGCCAGTTTAGCTGATTCAATGATCCTTTTAATTAGGACTCCAAAGGAGTACTGTTTGGAAGGAGGATGCAGTCTCAAGTTCACTACTGCTTCTCCCCTCAGGAGCCATGTCATACACCAGCCCATGAACAAAGAAACAAGAAAACTGCAGTGTTAGCAAGTTCAGCAGCTCACCTCAGAATCACACAGGCAAAGAGAAAAAAAAAAACCAACAAATCTAATAAGATACTAGTGCCCAGTTCTTAACTGGACAGGGCTGCAGCTTCTTTTAGGAACCACTTCAGTTCTGCTTGGCCAGTTAAAAAGCCAGCAGCCCACAGGGCTTCTGGTGAACAGTTGCACTGTCAGGACAGCAGAGCTGGCCACAGCTGATGGATCGGGAGATTCACAGGAGATACCCATGGCCCCCCCAGCTCCAGGTGTTCCCTGCATGCCTGACATGAGCACAGCAAGCACCCAGTCACCCACAGCAGCTTCTTATCACTGGACACACACCCCTCCATGCTCTGTATCTCCCCTTTAGCCTTAACTACAAGCTTGGCTGGTAGGGCTCCTCCTCATTAAGACTGCCTGCTAGCTGTATGCGTAAAACTCTTTTCCAGGGGTGATCATTTTGTAGGACTTTGATCATTTAGAGCAAAGCCATCAGCTTTCTGCCTCAGCTTTTTTGGGTGACCTTCTCCGTGAAGGGTGGAAACAGTAGCATGTAGCAGAGAAAGTTTCAGTCAGTCTTACTGACTCTCCCACAAACAAATTAT